TTGGTTGTAGTCGTACCATTCTTAGTACGGATTGCTTAGGGAAAGGAAATGTATCCAAAAGCTGCTTTTATAAAAATTTATAGACAATATTTTTTAGAGCAGTTTTAGATTTACAGAAGACTTGCATAGAATCTACAAGAGAGTTCCCGCACACCGTCCCCCCACCCGCATTTTCCCTGTTACGAATATCTTGTGTTCCCTTGGCACATTTGTTACAATGGATGAACCAGTATGGATACAGTCTTATTAACTAAGGTCTGAGTTTACCTTAGGGTTCACTCTGTGATGTGCAGTTCTATAGATTTTGATAAATGCACAGTATCATGTAACACCACTACAGTATCGTAATAATTTCAACACCCTAAAACCCCTCTATATTCCCCTCTATTCATCTCTCCTTTCTTCCCTCCCACATGCCGACCCCTGGCAGCCACTGCTCTTTTTACCATCACCACAGATTCCCAGAATGTCATATAGTTGGAGTCAAACAGGATGTAGCCCTTTCTGACCAGCTTCTTTCAATTAAAAGCATGCATTTGACGTTCCTCCATGTCTTTCCAAGTGAATCACACAATTTTTGGCTCAATATCTTATTTGTTTTTATCACTGAAGATAAAAAGATATCCTTTAATATCTTTTATCTTTTTTCTTTTTCTTTTTTATTTTTTGAGATGGAGTCTCACTCTGTTTCCCTAGGCTGGAGTGCAGTGGCACAATCTTGGCTCACTGCAACCTCCATCTCCTGGGTTCAAACGAGTAGCTGGGATTACAGGTGTGCTCCACTTAATTTTTGTATTTTTAGTAGAGACGGGGTTTCACCATTTTGGCCAGGCTGGTCTTGAACTCCTGACTTCAGGTGATCAACCCGCCTCAGCTTCCCAAAGTGCTGGGATTCTGGGTGTGAGTCACCGCGCCTGACCTTATTTCTTTTTATTACTGAATGTGCCATTATTTGGATGTGCCAAAGTTTGTTTATCCATTCTGCTACTGAAGGACATCTTGGGTGCCGCCAGTTTGGGGAAAGAATGATTGAAACTGCTATAAACATTTATGTCCATAAGTTTTCCACTCATTTGGGTAAATACCTAGGTAAAAGCTATTTTTAAAAATGAGATTTTAGTTCCTTTTTTCCTAAAGTCTGGAGGAAAGTATTCTCCCTCTTCCTTCCGGATAAGTTACAAAGGACAAAGCAGGAAGTGGAAGTAAATAAAGCCAAAGGCTATTGAATGTTCTTTTATTTTTTATTTTTTTTATTATTATTATTTTTTGAGACAGAGTTTTGCTCTGTCACCCAGGCTGGAGTGCAGTGGTGTGATCTCGGCTCACCGCTACCCCCGCCTCCCAGGTTCAAACGATTCTCCTGCCTCAGCCTCCCTAGTAGCTGAGATTAAAGGCATGCGTCACCACGCCAGGCTAATTTTATATTTTTTTAGTAGAGACGGGGTTTCTCCATGTTGGTCAGGCTGGTCTTGAACTCCTGACCTCAGGTGATCCACTCGCCTCGGCCTCCCAAAGTGCTGGGATTACAGGCGTGAGCCACTGCGCCCAGCGTGAGTGTTCTTTTCTTGTGCGTGGGTAAGTACACTGATCTCTTGGACAGAGACAAAAGTAGCTCACCCTCCCATTAACTAGCCACGGAACCTTTAGGCAGTTGGATTGGTTGTCACTGAAATCTTTTAGAAATCTGGACAAATAACCCAGGTTAACCAGGTGTATTCTGTACATTTTTCTTAGGGGATAGAGTTGGTTATAAAGGGATGCTATGGGTGGGAAGATAGTGACTTTGAACTGATTTTATTTTTTTCTCAGTTTGCCTAATAATTATTTTTAATATGTCCTGCCCTAGTTTTAGGACGTTTCCTAGATTTTAAAAGTGGGTATCTTTTTTCTTTTGCATTTTCTCTTATTTTTGGTCTTTCGTTAATATCATTCTTCTAATCACTGTGGTTGTTCTCTAGGCTTTTGTGGCCCCAGAATTACCCAACTTAGTTTTATTGTTCTTGGCAGTTGCTGTCTTTTACCTCGCCTCTTTAGGATGTTTTTCCCCACACTGTTTGTTCTGAACCAAATTTCTCCTTTAATGCCTTAGCGTGGCTTCCCTTCTTCCCAGGCAAAGAGGCTTTATTTCATTTGAAACAAACCGTGGCCTTCCTTTAGATTTAGAGAATGCTGCTGTTTATAATCAGGGTTCACGGAACAACAGTTTGGGATATTGCTGGCATACTATTTTGTGTATGCATGTGTGTGTTTTGGAATTACCGTATATGCCTGAATAGAAGTCAGGCTGGTATTACGTCTTCAGTATCTTCAGAAAAGAGGAAGTGCCTTACAGAGTCCTTGCAAATCTCTCATATGATAAGGACACAATTTCAATGATAGTATTTTATTTTCAATAACAAAGTACTAGTTAGAGAAGACACATAAACCTTTATTTGGCTCACTGATGACTTTGGGTGCTCTAGAAATCACTCAAGGAACCCAGTAGGAAGGAAGGTAAAAGCATTTATGTGGCTTTAACAATAACTTCTAGAGATATGGCCTCTTGATTGTGAGAGTTTGAGAGGCCAGTCTCAAAACAGTTCACTGAGTGGTTAATTTATGGAGATTTTAAATGGGTGTGTATGATTTGGGATAAGATTTCCAGCAAATGCATCATATGCAAATTTAAAAAATACTTTATCTCAAATATCCAGTCACCTGAAAGATCATGTTACACTGAAACACTGCACAAAGACTCAAAACGTCATCCTGGTTCTGCCTGTGACTAGTTTGAATAAAATTGTTTCATGAAATGTGACAGCGTGGAAACAGTATTTCTTAAATTAACTATGTTAACATTTTAATATATGGTCTTAAATAGGATGATGCAGCTGTAAAGATAAGTAGTATCAATAGTCATTTAATAATTCTATTGCATTCCTAAAAATTAAACGTTTGCGTTTTCCAAAAACCTTTTACTGAGGGATAAAGTCTTCCTATTGGAAAAGCAAGGATGTCACCTTACATTTGGAGTCACCCTGTATTTGGACACGTGTGATGCCTTTACAAGGCATGCACAGTTTTGAAGTATTCTGTGCATTGTTTCATTTGGAGTGAAGGGAAAGTATACAAGTCTTCTTCCCATTTGTGGGCACATTGGATTGGGCAATGTCAGTTTATATCCCCAGTTTGAACACGGATCTTCCTTCTCAGCCAGCACCCAGCCCTAAGGCTATCGGTAATTTTGAATCTGTTGGACACTTTTTAGAGTTCACCTTTTTTTTTTTTTTCTGCGTTTGGCTCCTTAATTCTTACCATCTTGTAGTCCTGCCCTTCGTGTGACAGCAGCCTGGCTGACATAACCCCTGCCCACCCCCGCACCTGTCCTTTCCCAGTTTGCTGTGAACGCCAGTGTTCGCCACCAGCCTGTTGGTCTTTTCCCCGCACCAGTTCTCTGCCCTCACCTTGACAGTCTCACATCCTTTCAAGGCTTCAGCGTCCACCCGTATTGAGGTTGAAAACTGGTAGCCTGCTCGCCATATCTTGCCTGCAAGGGTGGGGTTTATGGTTGTTTTAAATATGAGTTTGTTGCCAACATTTAAAAATTGAGATCAAATCTGGACCTCTGGCTTCTTTTGGAGAATGAGGTGAGCTGGCAGTGCTGGGACCAAGCCGTGAGCAGGTGTCCCCGTTAAGTGGGGCACTGCTGTCCTGTTTGCCACAGCCAGTCCTAGCTCCCGCTCCTTTTTGTTTTGGACATTGACGTAGTGTATCAGTTGCTGTTTTTGTTTTAACATGATTACGCCATTCAATTCCCTACAGTAGAGATAAGAGGAGAAAGAAACGTTTCTCTTGCCTATCTCTCTATTCAAAAGTGAGAAAATAAAAGCCGGACCAGGAATGGTATGTTTAAAAACAATGGAAGAGAACGTGTGTTTGTGTGTGTGTGTGTGTGTGTGTATGTGTGTGTGTGTAAGAGTATTTTTACACAGTTAACATTCAAGGTGTGTCTGAGTTGACAGGCTACAATTTGAGATGCTATAATTGACCTAGATGGTTTTGATGTCCAAATATATTCTTTTGCCCACATAAATACTTCTGCTTCTGAAATCTCAAATGATCTCATCGGTAATCTGGACTCATTGGTATTTACTGAGCACCTGGAATGTGCAAAGGTACTGGGGTACAATGGGAAGCAGGGCAGACACGTTTCCTGCCTTCTGGGAGCTTACAGTCGCAGGTGCAGACACCAGACACCTCACACTCAACATGACCCTGGGCTCATTTCTCCCTTCCACCTCCTCCCGTCCTCTCAGTGTCAATGCATGGCATCACCTAGTATCTGATTAGCAATCTTCATTCCATCTGGAACTTAGTTCCCCTTAGCTCTGTAAAGTTAACATATTCTCGGGCATGACACCAGGAATTAGGACACCAACATCTTTGGAGTCCATTATTGTGCCCATGATAATATCTACCTGCTAAATAGATTAACTCATCATCACCTGCCAGTTTGTCGTGACCCTTGGGCTCCAAACATGGAGGTCATTGGACTCATCAATTAAGTTGGCTTTCACATTTTTTTTTTTTTTTTAATTGCTTCCCTAAATCTGATGTTGCTCCCAGTGTCACCAACCCAGGGCCACATTTATATAAAATATTTCCCTGGCCACTCAGGCTGTGCCATCTTGAGTGATGTGTTCCTCTCTCCCCACACCCTGGTTCTGCTTAACTTCCAGGTTCCAGTTTAGGTCTTGCTTTTTCCAGAAGCTTTTCATGATCCCTTCTGTCCTCTTTGCTCTCTGTCGTCTCTGAAATTCTTCAGCTTTTATAGTCTACAGCAATTAATTATTAATATATCGTGTCTTTTAAATATTTACTTGTTGATTGAGTTTTGGCAGAAAGCTTTACGGGTTAGTTAGAAGTGACTCTAAAAACAGTTCATTGCCCGTCAGAAGCAAAATGTAATTCCATTATTTCGAATGCTTATCTGAAATGTTGTGTGGTTTTGTTTATTTCAGAGACTTGAAGATAGAGAATTTGCTACTAGATGAAGACAATAATATCAAGCTGATTGGTATGACTTTTTTTTTTTTTAAAGCAAAATTATCTTTTAAGTGTTGTGTTGTCAGTTCTCAACTTTGAAAAATATCCATGGTCTATCTCTAATACCCAGACACTATTCTAAATTATCTTCTTTTACTTCCAAAATTTAATAATGGTTTTGAAAATGGATCATGTGTTTCCTTGTCTTATTCAAACTATAGCTTCTCCATAAATTCAGATGGAGCTGACCTTTTGTAGAATTTATTTTTATTTGGATTAAGCGGAAAACTTCTTAAAAATAGTGAAAGATAGTTTGGCTCAGAAATGCTTCCCATAGCTTTGTCATATCTCATTCCGCTTCTCGGTGAATGCAGGGATGCCTAAAATAAGGGGGAATGCAATTGACCTTCTCTTTTTAATATAATCTTTATTCAGGCTCGTTGGTACAATGGGAGCTGTGCAGAGAAGTCCCCACAAAGGGGTAGTTAGAAGTCTGAACCAATCAGAAGGAAGCTACAAGATGCAGCATCATAATTGGTTCATAATTCAGGGTCCATAGCAAATGCACTGCACGACTCATTTTCTAGACGAATTCAGGTGGTTCTATTGTTGTTATTGTCTCCCTGTGTGGTCGCTCTGGGCAGAATTCAGGGCATCATTTTTATATCCAGATACTAGACGGCACCATCTTTTATTCCTCTCTCTCTTTTCTTTTTCTCCCACCTGAAGTGCAAGTAATTTCTTTCACCTCAATGGCTTGAAAAGACTTCATAGGAGGGGAAAAGAAGAGGATCAATAGGACTTTGTGAATTTAACGTTTATGCCCAAGAAGGAACTTTTGTTTGACAAATGCTGAAAGTCAATACAAGATTCTCCAAAACACATTATTAAAATGACTTATTCGATATTTTGGGATTACAGTCGGCTCCCAATTCAGAACCAGGCAAGAGACTGCACAGACTCTGGATAATTAAACACCACTGATAGGTGTTGATGGATACACTTATTATTAGAAAGTTAACCGTGAAGAGGAAACCAATTTTTCCCCAACAGCATTTAGGAGAATCTATTCTTAGAATATTCTTAGATAATTCAAATGATTTTCTTTTTCTTTTTCTTTTTCTTTTCTTTCTTTCTTTCTTTTATTTTTTTTCTGAGATGGAGTCTCCCTCTGTTGCCCAGGCTGGAGTGCAGTGGTGCAATCTCAGCTCACTGCAGCCTCTGCCTCCCGGGTTCAAGGGATTCTCATGTCTCAGCCTCCCGAGTAGCTGGGATTACAGGTGCCCACCACCACACCTGGCTGATTTTTGTAGTTTTAGTAGAGATGGGGTTTCACCATGTTGGCCAGCCTGGTCTCAAACTCCTGACTTCAGGTGATCTGCCCACCTTGGCCTCCCAAAGTGCAGGGATTACAGGCGTGACCCACCACACCTGGCTGATTTTCTTTTTGTTACATTGTTTTACTGTTGCATTTACTTGTCTTGAGGGCCAAATGCATAAGCCAGAAAACAAGGCACTTGTGTTGAAATGCTTGCAGGAAGTCGCTCTGGTCCTCATTTCGGAGATCTGGAGGGTTAAACAAAGGGGCCTCCTGGTGTGGGGTAAGGAATGGAGGAAAGGAGTTTTTTGTTTTAGGTTCCCTGTAACTGTTCTTTGGAAAATGTGGAGGTGACAGTGATAAAGTTGTCGTAACAGCACCAGAGACTGTAAGAGAACAGACTTTGTAACAGCAGTATTTATATGACAATAAAAGTTAGAATAGGCCAGGCGCAGTGGCTCACACCTGTGATCCCACTTTGGGAGGCTGAGGTAGGCGGATCACGAGGTCAGGAGTTCAAGACCAGCCTGACTAACATGTGAAACCCCCGTCTCTACTAAAAATGCAAAAATTAGCCAGGCGTGGTGGTGCACGCCTGTAATCCCAGCTATTCAGGAGGCTGAGGGAGGAGAATCAGTTGAACCTGGGAGGCAGAGGTTGCAATGAGCCAAGATTGTGACACTGCACTCCAGTCTATGTGACAGAGCAAGACTCTGTCTCAAAAAGACTGAGGCTGGTGAGTCGTGTAAGGTGCAGACGGAGTTTCCACATCTCAGGTGGGCATTGCCCATCCTGTTTCTTCCCTTCCCTCTTGCCCCTCTGTCTCCTCTGCCTCCTCTGTGTTTGGTGTCTCTGCTTTCTCGTTACGTGGTAGCCCTAGGTGACCATCGACAGAACTCTCTTGTGGAATAAGCGATGGTGAAATGCACAGACCTTTTTATTGGGTGGACGTTTGCTCAGGGGATTCTAGAAAAACCAGTCATTTCACTGCTGCAATCAGTGGATCCTTTTATAAGGGGCTCACAGATTGGTTGAATAACAGAACCTCTTAGAGGAGACCTGTCTGAGTCAAGTGAGGAAATCATACACCTAAATGAGAGCCTGCCCCTTCCCCTCTTGCTGCACGTTATGGTCACTCTTTGGGTGCCAGGAACCATTTTATTCAAATCCCACAGAGTCATCGCCTCTCTGCTGGCAATGTCTGGACGGGCACTGCAAAGACATTCTAGGTCTTTGGAACAAAATCGGCCCCTTCAGAAACAGGATGCCCGCACCTGCTAGAAAGGAGGCAGTGACCATTGGATTTCCCTTTGTTAACAGTGCCCATTTGGTTGCCGGTTCTCTCCTAAGCAGTGGAAACTGAGGAACCCTACCTCACACCTGCCCGGAGAGAGACCTTAGACCATCCCTGAGGGCTGGTGGGAACTGCATTTGGTTAAGAAAGAACCGCATTTCCGCATTTCCGGAAGGCATGGAGGGAGAGATGAAGGCCCAGTGTCTGTGAGGTTTCTTGCCCCTGGGTTGAGCAATTTGGATCAAAGGTCTTCCAACTCCTGTCTTTTTTGTAACTTGAAAGCTCTTTGAACCTTCTTGTCTTCAAAGGCATTACCTACTTGTTTTTTTTCAAAGGTGATTATAGCTATTATGATTGCCTCTTAATAGTTTCTCTTTCTTTGAAAGAATTCGGTTTAAATAAATCTACTTAAGCCATGTTTCAAATTAACTAGAATTACCAGGAGTAAGATTTGATTTAATCAGAAGGTTTTTTTCCCTTTAAAAAAAAAAAGCAGTCTGATGTTTGGTAAATTAAATCTTAAAAGGGAAGAGGGGCAACTTAGAACTGAGTTTTGCACTTCAGTATTCCAAAGCAGGTTCACTTGGGCGTTTTGTGAGATTCATCCTGTAGCTCTCAGAAAATTGAGTGGTTGTTGGCTGATATATTTACCAAACCTAATTGAGACAGACCCATGTGACATTGCTGGGAGGTGGCCTTCTCTTAAGTTCCACAATTCCAATTATAGGCAGATGTGTACAGTTTTAATAATTACAATTATGAATGTGAAGCACACTGGTTGTTTCTCTACAAATATATTTTAAATCAAACCCTTTCGGCTAGATCAACATAAGTTGCTTAACATGCAGATTCTATCTCTTCCACCTCCCAAATGCCCTGCTAAGTTATCTTCTTGAAACTGCTCAAGATAAGGCCAGACTATTCCCAAACTTGCCTGGGATGGTGGAGGGTGATCTGACCTCTTATCTCTCCCTCTGCCCTCTTTTGAGAACAAGTCCTTCTTTCTGGACCCCAGGTCTTGGAGAGGTGAGGAGGTGAACAAAACGAGGCAGCCCTTTGCTGTGAAGGGAACGCTGTTGAGATTAGGAACGGAGTCTTTTGCTTTGATCTCAGAAGTTTAGAGATAACAATTTCTAGGACTCTGATGAAATTGGGCCTCCTCAACTATTATTGTCTTTATTTGATGGTGCTGTCTCTCACAGTGGGTGCTCCTCACATGTTTGTGTGTTCATTAACATTCTTTTAGGTTCATTTTCAAACTGAAAGCAGTCAAACAACCCTCCAATTTAAAGCACAATATTATTTTTCTTCTCCCCACCACCTTTCTTTTTGAGATGGAGTCTCGCTCTGTCTCCCAGGCTGGAGTACAGTGGTGCAGTCTCGGCTCACTGCAACTTTTGCTTCCCGGGTTCAAGCAATTCTCCTGCCTCAGCCTCCCGAGTAGCTGGGACTACAGGTGTGCGCCTCCACACCTGTCTAATTTTGTATTTTTAGTAGAGACAGGGTTTCACCGTGTTGCCCAGGTTCATTTCGAACTATAGCCTCAGGTGATCTGCCCACCTTGGCCTCCCAGAGTGCTGGGATTACAGGCATGGGCCACTGCCCCCGGCAGATTTTTCTTCTTATAAAAATATTCACCCCCTTTTCTTCCCACTTCAGTGATCCTGAGGGGTGGGGTCTGAGAACAGGTTTCTCAGGTTCTTTTTAACTGATATCTCCTCCTAGTCTCCCACACCCATGACTCCTGAAGGACTTACCTTGGACACGGTTTTTGGGGCCTATGGATGCTGGCTGGGTCGATGGGAAAGGTGTAGGGGGAGAGTTGGGGAGGGAAGAGTAAGGGAGTCAAGGAGGCGAAGGGGAGGGAGGTTAAGAGAGAAAAATGGAATCATAAAAAAACAAAAGAAGGGTTCAGTGTTTGAACATGCAGCATGCCTGGTTGGTTTGTTTGCCATTCCCTCTTGTAGTTTGGGCTGAAGAGTTTGGGTGATATTTAGAGCCTTCAAGAGTTTTCTGAGCTCTGCTTAGATGGGATCCTCTTTAGAAAAGCTTAAGGCAGTGACTTTGGAAAAACATTTTGGCTGTGACATCTTGAACTGCACAGACTGGACTGTATTTCTCCTCCCCTGAGATTTCCTACAACGTTCCTAATGGTCACATGCCTTGCAGGTGGAGACACGTTTGAGTGAGGTGAAAATACATTCGTGCAGCTAGACATAAATACTGCCGATTGAGAAAGTGCGAGAGTTTTGTTCAAGACTGGAAACCTGTCTCTGCCTGAGCCCTGCAGCCTGAGTCTTCTGTTTGGGGGGGATGGACCATAATATTTACATTGAAGTTCAAAGGATGAACTATGATCTTAATTCTGAGATCAACAAAGATTAAGGAAAGATTCAGATGAGGGCGTAAGAGTAACAACTCTCTAATTACCTGTCAGTTTCAGTATCTTTAAGATCAAAAGATAAACGTGGCGCAGAACGCATAATAGACCCAAAGTCACTGATGCCCTGGGCTTTCTCCCCCCTTTTCCTGGGTATGTTAATTATCCAGGAACAAAGCGGTGCCATGAGGTCATTTAGTCTAGTTTGCATTGCCATCTTTCTTTCTTTCTTTTTTTTTTTGAGACGGAGTCACGCTCTGCCGCCCAGGCTGGAGTGCAGTGGCCGGATCTCAGCTCACTGCAAGCTCCACCTCCCGGGTTCACACCATTCTCCTGCCTCAGCCTCCTGAGTAGCTGGGATTACAGGCACCCGCCACCACGCCTGGCTAATTTTTTAAAATATTTTTAGTAGAGATGGGGTTTCACCGTGTTAGCCAGGATGGTCTCGATCTCCTGACCTCTCAATCTGCCTGTCTCTGCCTCCCAAAGTGCTAGGATTACAGGCGTGAGCCATTGCGCCTGGCCAACATTGCCATCTTTCTGGTGCTACTTTTCCAGCCAACATTCAGGGTTGTCTAAACTGCTGGGTATATTTTCCCCCTCTTCAAGTCACTATATGTGCTGCATATCTTTGGGGCAATTTTTTTTTTTTTTTTTTTTTTTGAGACAGAGTCTCACTCTGTTGCCCAGGCTGGAGTGCAGTGGCCGGATCTCAGCTCACTGCAACCTCGCCTCCTGGGTTCACACCATTCTCCTGCCTCAGCCTCCCGAGTAGCTGGGACTACAGGCGCCCGCCACCTCACCTGGCTAGTTTTTTGTATTTTTTAGTAGAGATGAGGTTTCACCGTGTTAGCCAGGATGGTCTCAATCTCCTGACCTTGTGATCCGCCTGTCTCGGCCTCCCAAAGTGCTGGGATTACAGGCTTGAGCCACCATGCCCGGCCATCTTTGGGGAAATTTTTAAAAGACTTTCATGAAGTGAAAACATTCAGCTGAAAAAGTCAACTGTAAGTGGCTGGATTGCGTGTCACTGAGGGTGACACCAGCAGCCAGAGATAATCAGTCTTCCTTCATCTTTTCCCCACTTGGCAGCTTGGAAGCTAACTCCAATCCTCTCTGCCTGTTCTTTCTTCCTGCCTTCATCCTAGAAAGCGAATTCTCTCTTTTTTTCCTGGATGGCTCATTTACAAGATTGGATGGAAATAGGTTTTAGTTCAGCATACTGTTTTCTCTAACTGGCTTTAACAGTGAGGCCCGATGTAAAATGCTCTCAGCTAAGCCAGGGAACCGCCACTGACATTCTTTTGCCTTGAGTCTCATATCCAGACGTTATGGTTTGCAGCTGCTACGATTTTCTTTAGGATGCTAAATGATGTGTTAGCCTGAGAGAATGTGTTTCCTTTCCTGCTGCCCTTTTTATTTTTCCTTTTTTTTCCTCCCTCTTCATTTCCGCAGTTTTCTAATTCGGAGCTTGTTTTGTTCACCTCTTTTTGCAGACTTTGGTTTGAGCAACTGCGCAGGGATCCTGGGTTACTCGGATCCGTTCAGCACGCAGTGTGGCAGCCCTGCCTACGCCGCACCTGAACTGCTCGCCAGGAAGAAATATGGCCCCAAAATCGATGTCTGGTCCATGTGAGTTATCAAGCTTCTGAACGTCAATGTTCCTCCTGCTGTCTCCACCGTGCCTTTCTTATGAAATCATGCTTGAGTATTGGATGGCAGGCCCAGGAGTACGTTGTCAGGGATTCTTTGGGGCCTGGCTTTCCATCTGTGTTCCTTCTGTTTTGGTCTGCACGAACTGTCAGAATGGCCTTTACCAAAATTCAGTGCGGTGCTGAGGAGGGAAGAAAACCACGTCCTGCCCTCACAGAGCTCACATTCTGGCTTTGCGACTCATTTATGACCCTTCCTCTGGCCCTTAGTTTCCCATCACCCTCTGTGTGAAGCTCCATCCTGCTGCCCGGCCCGTGCTCCCTGCGGGACTTGCTCGCCCATCTCTCCTGCCCCCTGCCCTGCTCACAGTTCTTCAGACACGTCGGCCTCCCTTTTGTCTCTCCCACCTCTAGGCTTGTTGTTTTTGAGGCAGAGTCTTGCTCTGTCACCCAGGCTAGAGTGCAGTCGTGTGATCTCAGCTCACTGCAATCTCCCCTTCCCAGGTTCAAGTGATTCCTCTGCCTCAGCCTCCCAAGTAGCTGAGATTACAGGCATGCGCCACCATGCCCAGCTAGTTTTTGTATTTTTAGTGGAGATGAAGTTTCACCATGTTGGCCAGGCTGTTCTTGAACTCCTGACCTCAGGTGATCCACCTGCCTTGGCCTCCCAAAGTGCTGGGATTACAGGCGTGAGCCACGTTCCCGGCCATGCACTTGTGATGCCTGGAATGCCCTTTCCCAGCCCTTTGGATGGCCTGTGCATTCCCACATCCCCGTCTCAAGCCAATGGCGCCACTGCCGAGATCATCTCTGAGCTCCCTGCCAGAAAGTCCCCCAGCCTCTCTCCTCACCCTTTCAGTTTCCTCCTCGGCACCTCTCAAAGCCTGTCCTTTTCCTGTTTTAAATCCATGCCTCTCCTGTCTCCCCAGCCAGCAAGGACTCTGCACGAGGGGAGGGAATTGGTTAGTCTGGTTCACCGTTTTGTTCCCAGGGTCTGGTAGAGGAAGGGCCACCAGGGGTAAGCACAATGAGTATTTGAAGGTGAATCTTCAGTTGCACCAAAGGTAGAGCCTGGGTCCCCCATGGTCCCAGTGAGTCACCCCCTCCACCATCCCCTGTCAGTGACGGTCCAGGGTCAGTTCAGAGTCTTGGATTCTGGGGTAGGACTCAATCCTTTGCCACAGGGAAATGGGCTGTAGACCGAGTGAGATTCTGATTAAGATACAGACGAGAAAGCCTCATTTGCATGAAAGGTGTGTTGATCCGGAGTATTTCTGGAATTCCCCTGCCTCTCTTCATATTCACTGTAACCCCCTTGTTCACGTTGGCAGAGAAACTAATGCTTGCTTAGTGCTTGATGTGTGCCAGACACCATGTCACTTAGTTTCACAATGACCCAGTGCAATCGTTACTCTCTATTACCCTATTTTATGGAAGAAGAAACCCATCATAAGAGAAATAAATAAAATTGCCCAAGGTCATAGAGCTGCTAAGTGGTGGAGTGGAATTTGAACCAAGCAGTGTCCTTTCAGGGTGTCAAGATACAGCCCCAGCTCTCCAATGTGGCATGTGTGCCGGGGGCGCTTGCTTGCCCTGTGGCCTCGTTGAAGGCATGCCCCCTCCCCTTCTCTCCCCACCCGTTCTCTGGCTAACCCGGCCTTGTTTCCTGTTCCCTGAACGCAGCCTGCGCTTGCTACATTCCAGCCCTTACATGCACAGTTCCTTTGGCCTGGAACCCTCTTCTTTTCCCTCTTGAGTTGCTGGGTGCTGGTTCCTCTGGGCAGCCCTCTGTGTCTCCAGCCAGCTGGCTTTGAGGCCTTCCCATGTCCCCTCCAGCCCCCGGCTCTCTGTGTTCCTGGGCCTCACTGTGAGGTCTTTGTCCACCTGCTGGGACCCTTTGGGCTGTAGCGGAGGGGCAGGGACCACTTGGCTTGCTCCCAGAATTTCCTCAGCACCTGGTGGAACCTGGAGGAGGGGAGGGAGGAAAAAAAGAAGGTGGGAAGGAGGAGAGAGGAAGGAGAAAGGAAAGGAGGAAAGGAGGAAGGGAGGGAGGAAGGAAGAGAAAAGGGAAAGAGGGACAGAGGAGGAAGGAGCAGGTGTTTCACCCAGGGAAACAGAAGCTGGCAGGTCAGGGCTGAAGCTGGCCGAGAAAGCAAACAGAGGAATGTGGGTCAGTTCAAGGCTCTAGAAGCGAGAGGAGCCGAGGATGTTCCGGTTGGATTGAGAAGAAACAGAGACCAGAACAAGATGTGGAGAGATAGGGAATTCCCGGAACTTTCCCAGAAGGGGCCGACTCTTCTGGAACCCTGGCTAAGAGGACCTGCTTGTCAGCGAAGAGGTGAAACAGGTCAGGAATCAGCTTCTACTCCTGAGCAGGTTGGGTGCCCTGGTTAGTCACCCCTGATCTTCAGGACAGTCCTGTGAGGCACATCTCTTGCCCCCAGTTTGCACAGATAGAAGAGAGTGGTGAGCGCTGCCTAGAGGCACATGTGAGCCCGAATGTAGTGGAGCTGCCCGTTGCTGAAGCCTGGGCTCCCAGTTACTTCACAAGTATGGTCTGGTGTGCAGGCTGCATATGGGGTGTGTGTGGTGTGCTGATGACGGGCTCAGGTGGGCTGGGGTCAGGTAGAGCTAGTGGAGTGGAGCAGGGAGCAGCAGAGGATGCCTTCTAAGGCATTGCTAGTCATAGACTTCTCTTCTGAGAAGGCCTCTGAATCCCCCTCAACACAGCCCCTCCCGGCAGCTAATACCAGTGGATCAGAGTTGTATATGGGAGGAAATCCATTATGGATTTCTTCCAACCCTTAAGAACTCTCACAGGTGTCTGGTACAGTCTTCCCTCGATAAATATGCATTGAGTGGATAAATATGGATATGTGGGTCTATAATCACTTTCTTAACAGCTAGAGAACTCATTTATGCTAAATGGGAAGCTATGAGAGGAAGAATTTGTGTGCGCGTGTGTGTGCGTGCGCGCGCGCACACACACATACACACACACAAGCACAAAAGGCTATGGGAGCCTGAAAGACCAAGAGGTCCCCTGTCTTAGTCTGTCTTTTGTTGCTGCAAAGGAACACCTGAGGCTGGGTCATTCCTAAGGAAAAGAGCTGTATTTGGCTCATGGTTCTGCAGGCTGTACAAGAAGCATGGTGGCAGCATCTGCTTCTGGTGAGGCCTCAGGCCGCTTCCACTCATGGTGGAAGGTGCAGGGGACCAGTGTGTGCAGAGATCACATGGTGGGAGAGGAAGCAAGAGAGAGGGGAGGTGCCAGGCTCTTTGTAATGATCAGCATGGATTGACTCATCCTATCCGCCTAACAACCCTTCAAGGTAGTGCTGTGTTACTCCCAATTTAAAGGTGTGGAAACTGAGGCATGAAGAGCCTCAGCCACTTGCCCACATGATACACCAGCGTGTGACAGAGCCAGGATTTGACCTATGTGGTTTGCCTCTAGGCCTCTGAGTCACCACCCTCTGCTGCTTCTATTATGTTATACTTTCCCTGGTGGGGTTTACATGCTAGAGGGACAAACAGCCGGTATTTTAAAACGCTATAAACTGAGTGTGGTAACCTCTGTGGAGGAAGTGAGAGGGATTCAGGGAAGAAGATGGAGTAGCCTCTTGAGGAGAAGACTTCAAAGCCAGATCCTAAAGATGAGAAGGAATTAGCCATGGGAAGAGGAAGGTGTCAGGGAAGAAGGCCAGGAAAGGTCAAAAGTAAACTCCTGAGAAACAAAACAGATTTTTTTGTTATGGCAGCCCTAGTACACATGGCTGCACAGCTGGGTTAAGTCAGGAAGGCATCTGTAGGCAAGTTTGATCTGTTCCTGAAAGATGAGTGGAATTGGCCAGGTGGAGAACGGGCAGGGAAACGTTCCAGGCAGAGGGAACAGCATATGCAAAAGACTGGTAGGTGTGACACATCTCATTTCTCTTCCTCTTAATTTTGGCAAAAACATAAAACTTCAGTACCTTTTAAGAGATAATTTTCTACTGCTTTGAAGTGTTGTGTCTAAGATTCGGGTTAGGGTTCTGTTTGGCGCCCATGACTTTGCTGGTAGAAGTGGAGATGGAAAACCCAAAGTGAATTTAATGTAGAAGGCTGTTTAAAATGAGAGTGAAAATGGAACCGATTTTCTCACTGGGTTAGACACTGTTATTATAAAATGGCTTCTCTCTTTATGGCTCTGAAACAAAAACAGAATGAAGAGTTCACTTCCATAAAAGCAAACTCCCCTCCTGGAGGCTTTGGACCTGATGGATGGCAGGGACTTTATCCACAACTTCTGAGATTGATTTAGGAAGAAAATCAGACTGTCATTGAAAGAAACCTTGGGAAAGAAAGCGCTTCTCTACTAATAGGGCCCCCAGGACCCTCCTCCAGTGAAGCCATAATTAACAATGGAAATGGGAAATTGTGCACTTTCTTGGGGATTTTCCATTATTTTCAATGGTCAGTATTTTCAAGACCATAAAAAATAGCTGTAAAGTAATTCACTTCTTTCCTTTACCCCGGATTTTATATATATATATAAAATATATTGATGTGTGTGTCTCCAATGAACTTTGAGGTTTCAGACACAAAAACCAAAAATATTCATTCTGGTGCATTGAACTTTTATTACTGTGAATTGACTTTTCCTCTGAGTGACATATATGTTAATTTAAAACAACTTTAATGCAGATGTACTTTTTAATTGAAAAGAATTCAAAATTAACTTTATCTTCAGAATATAACAATGCTCCCGTGCAACCTTCAGTGAATTCCTACTGGTAAGGAAAACAGAAATGGAGAGTTCTATCCTGAGAAGATTGAGAACGCAACGTTTTTGGGCTAAAGCTGTCCTCTGCTCTCATGGGGGCCGCTGGGATGGATGGGTGAAGTACTTGCGTGAGGACCTGGTGCCTCCTGGAGAGTCACGCATGACACACTCAGTCCACCTTCCTAGCTCATTGCATCTGTTTTCACTTAGTGGAA